TTACATCATCAAGTCTCAAATCATTCCCAAGAGCATCTCATACCAGGAGGGGACCTGAAGGTTCACCTACTACTGGAGACAAGTGGAATGGTGGTAGCAAATTAAAATTGGTGCATGTCTCAAACGTTCACAGAAGGGTACCTTAATAATTTTAAGAACCAGTATTTCTCCTTGCCATTTGATGGACATCTGTTAGAAATTTCTAAATATACCTAGTACATAACAGTTTGAGAAGAAAAAAAGCCTAATAAATAATATTGATAGAATCATTAATAACCATGTATACAAATAATAAGAGGTACAAGACATTATCATAGGAGCTCAGTACTTCTGAAACTGCCTCTTGAAAAAAATCTGATGAGAATTTGCATGCTAAAAATATAGAACTATGGAAATAATAACAAAGAAAACGTCTGAAAAAATGGGCAGAAATATGGGACCAGCAGATGGCATAATGGTTGATATTGTTGGATTCCCATGTAGATGACTGCAATTCGAGTCCTGGATACGGCAGCTGAAAACGCACACCAGGCATGTGTGTAGCCATGTCCAAAGTCCTGAGAGGAGAATGGAGGAGAAGGGATTGTGGTATGGCCATCACCTCGTGGGAGAGGAGGGAGATTTATCACTGCCTGTCTCTCTGTCTCTCTGACAAGTTCACATGCTCTATAGCAAAAAAACAAAAAACAAAAAAAACAAAACTGTCTCTCTGTCTCTCTGACAAGTTCACATGCTCTATAGCAAAAAAAAAAAAAACAAAAAAAACAAAACAAAAAAAAAAAACAAAAAAAAAACTCTCAAAAAAGAAAAACAGGCAGAAATATTTAAAATTAAATACAATGAAAAGTTTCATTATTCACTCACTTAAAAGGAATTTATTATTCATCTACTAATACATAAAGAGGTATTCAATACAAATGGATCATCAACTACTAAAAGTAAGCTTTAAAAGTATATTTTAAAAAATACATATAATGGTCCAAATATGTCTAGAACAAGAAGTGCAAGCAGCCAAGGATAAATGGAATTTTATCCATTCTTTCCTTACAGAACATTTTACTTCAGTAGAGAATTTTGTTTTAGATCTTCATGGACACACATCACAACTCCTAAAATTAGTTCCCTAAATATTGGGTTGACAGGAAAGTCATGGTGCATTTTTTTTAATTATTTTTATTTTAACTTTATTTATTATTATTATTTTCCAGTTTGATCAGAGAGAGACAGAGAGAAAAAGGAAAAGTGAGAAAGAAAGCCACCAGGTCCAGGTCTTGAATTGTGATTGGCGCCTTCAGCCACTACGCTACCTGCTGGCCCCATCATTGTGCATTTTTGCATAGAAAAATACATCATAACTTTCCTGACAACTGTCCTAATAGTTTTCCTTGTTTCAACCACATTAATCCTCTCATTTCTTTTCAAACATCTTTATTAATTCTCCACAAAGCATACTCTAAACTCCTTAGCCCAGAACATATTTGGCACCAAGCTATGTTTCCAAACCTATTACTCCTGGGCCTCAATCAGACAGACCAATCCTTTGCCCCTACAACCCAAGGTCCAATCATACTAATAATTTGTGTATGCATTTCCTCACAGTCATAGTCAGATATCCTTTTCCCTTTCCTTTGTGCCTATCTACCTGAATCCTACTGTCAAAGCCAAGTAACCCACACCACTTATCTCAGTTAGCCAGGTCAGAGTCCATGCTGTTTACATCACTCACAAAGCCTTTTGTATACCAACCCTTATAAACACTACTGATTCTAGTTTATCATTTGCCACTTCAACTGTACCACAAAACTTAAGTTCATTTCTTATTCTACCTCTTTGTGCCCTAGCGTCTTTTATCTAGCCCCTAATCCTCAACTATCACAATGGCCAAAGTAGCATCTTTCCAATCAGCTAGCTTCCACCAAGTCAAAGACACACAAGGATACACTCAAAGTATGTTATTTATTTCTTAACTATGTAAGGACAATTTAGGCCAAATAACATTTGAAAAGACATTTTACTGTCCTTAAAATTTCTGAGTATTTAGAATCCAAGATGCATGGATTTCTGAATTGTTTTCTTCCAACAAAACATCCTGATGTTTGCTCAGGATGTCATGATTTTCCAATATGCCCCAAGAGGACACTCTCACCTTATGACAATTCACTGCAAATGCCTGTTCACTTGTCTGTCTATACCAGTGGCTCCTTGAAAAGTAAGAGAGAGCATGTTCCATTTCTGATCTCCTGTATTAGCACCATGTATAAGCTGCCTTCATAGTAGGAGCACAGTCAATGATTGATCTAACACCATGATTATCTAAAGTAAACACAATTAAAGAATATCCTGTACAAGGCATATAAATGTTAAGTAAACCTAATTTGTGACTGTGCAGTTTCAAATGAGATATGGTCAAAATTCTAAAGGCTACATTTATATAAGTATTACTCACAAAAATGATAAACAAACTTCAAGAGAAATCCTATTGGGCATGTGTGGGCATGTGCAAGATTTTTATAATATATATCATAGAATATGGAAATACTTTGGAGATGGAAAAGGAAAGATTTCTCTACTTTCTACCCTACTGTATTGATATTATTATTATTATTATTATTATTATTATTATTATTATTGCTTGCTATAGGGCCTGTGTGCTTGCCAGAGACAGAGGGAAAAAGGGAAAATGAGAAAGTGCCCCTGAAAAGATGACCAAGTCAGTTCCTTTTCCTCCATTCTCCTCTTGGAATTTTGGGCACACACACACATAGGTGCCCAGCATGTTCCTAAGCCTCCAAGTCTGGGACTCTAATCACACAGCCAGCCATGTGGGAATTCAGCTGCCTGAACTACAACACCTCTTGAATGGACTACTTTTTGTCTTCTTAATTTATTTTATACATTCGATCAGTATACATCACTTAGCTTGCAAAGTGAATTTGCCCAACATGAATATACTTCATGCCTGTCCAGTTTAGGATGCTATACATGTTATGGACTGCTTAAAAACAAACAAATAAACAAACAAACTATGAAACATGTATAATTTTCAGATTTACTTTTACTCTTGCCCACCCTCCACACTATACATGCCCATAAGGAATAGTCTCATAGTAGTCGGGACCTTCTTTTTTTTTTTTTTTTAAGAGAGATTTTTGCTATAGGGCATGTGTGCTCACTGGAGAGGCAGAGAGACAGAAGTGATAAATCATCCCCTGGGGGGATGGCCACACCACAGCCCCTTCTCCTCTATTCTCTTCTTGGGATTTTGGGCACATACATACATGCAGCCAGTGTGAGTTTTAAGCTGCCTGGTCTAGGACTTGAACTGTACTTGACTATGTAAACCAATGCAACCTTACGCCATCTGCTGGTTCCAAGATATTCTTTTTTAAATAAAAAGTTAGCCTACCATCACAGTGAACTAATAGCTATTTTAGATGTTAAGTACTAACCATGAAAGAAAACACAGATTGGACAGAGAGGTTTTAGAGTACAAGGAGGGGACTTTGGTTTTGTGATTTAAACTCCTTCTTAAGTTAATATTTCCTAATTTAAATCTTCCTCTATAAATCCAATAGTCCTAAATATCTAAAGAGAAAGCTCCCCAAAGGCATTGTCTACCTATTCAAGTAATAAAAAGACAGTAAAATTCCTCTTCTCAAGTTGTCTAAGACTTCTCATTAGATATTCTGTGAAAAGAATCAGCTCTCCCTCCACAGTGACTTTGACTGAAATGCAATTTACATTCTATAATTAAAGTGCTCATTGCTTATAGCAGAAGTTGTAACTGAAAACACCTAGACATCACAAATCTACTTTCTTCCCTTCTGTCAGGGTAAAGAAATGTGGTCTTTGGTGAACAAATTCAAACTATCTGATGCAAGTCTCTAGAAGACAGAGATTATGGTGTTCTCATCTTCATATACCAAGCCACTAAAGTAATCTAGGAAATAGTCATTTTTTTAGTGACCATTGGTTCAATGAACAGCATTTACTCAAATAGTACACACTCATAGATAAAAACAGAATAACCTAGCTCTGATTAGTAAGGAAGCAATAGTTTCTGTACCCACTGAATTGCCATTATTTCTTTTAAAATATATTAAAAATCATAAATGATAAAGACTGCCTTCATAAATAAATTATTTGCAAACCACTTAGGTTTTATACTAGTCAAGGAATCATTTCCTGAATTACCCTAATGAACTGCAAGAAGTTTGGTGTGGCACTCTTAGAAGGTGAAGTGGCCACAGGACACTGGGAGTGAGGAATCCCCAGTACTCCCCTACTTCCTCCAAGCAAGGAGATCATGCACACATCTTGACACTGTATTTTTTATATCATAGTGACTGATCAAAAAACAAAAACTTTTTTTGTTTCTGAGAACCATGATACTCATTTGTACCTTGTAATGTTTCTGGAATACCTGCTTTGGATCTCATCATCTTACCATCTTGCAGAGATGAGAAAAGAGCTGCTTTCCCTCCCATCTTTACCATCTGGAAGGCCCTCTCTATTTCATCCCTCTTCATAAAAGTCAATCTGAGCTTAAATCTCATGTGAAATACGTCCTTGATCTTTAACTTCCACCTCTTGATTTTCTTCCTTCTTCAGTCTTGTCCTAATAACCACTTTCTATAACACCTAAGCTCTTGTTTTCCACATTTTGCAATGTTGTATATATCTTTCTGATAATCATTGTGGGGGAACATTTAGAATTACTCTCCCTGAAATAATGAAGAAGTTATGCTTCTGACATCTAGAATCTCATGATCTTTGTATAAATACAGTAAACCACAAAAATCACTTCAAATTTTTACTAGTACAGTTATTTTAAAGAAAGAGGAGGAGGAAGAAGATAGTTTCAGAAAACCTTCTGCATTTATAGATGTTTTAAATTTATTGAAACCAGACATTTATTCCAACCAGTTTTAATACTTCCTCATCTTCAAGGTTAAGCAAGGTCACCAAAAACAGAAGTTGCAAAATGGCACTGCACTTACCTGAGGGTATGGGGAAGTCCTGGACTTGGATTTTGAGCTGGAAAGACGGGACTTGGCCCCTTTCCTGTTGTCAGTCATGGTGGGGGCAGAGCTGCTAGCATAGGAGAAGGCTGGTTTGGAGGCCGAGACCTGATCTAGGGAGAGCTGCAGCCCTTTGTATTCTGTGTCTCTGCAGAGTGGGAGGACAGAGGCCTTAGTCAGCAAAGGAAGCAGATTCATGCATTCTCACATCAGGAATGACAGTAATCCATATATGAAAAGGCAGTAAGGAAAAATTAGCCATATAATTGATTCTCACAAATATCTGGATTTATTTTTTAAAGTCTAACATTTAATGTGTGTGAACGTCTATCACAGTCATATTATATGGTCATGAAAAAGTCTTGATTAATTTTTTTCACTATTTTTAATTAAGGTAGAAAATAAACCCATAATCAACTTTTTGAAGCTTTGATGTTCTTGTTGGTGAGATATGAATTATAAAACCTATTCTACTGGTTCTTATGTGGGGTGACTCAACAGACAACCAGCATCTGACGACTGGCAAGGAGAATGTCTTCTATCGGCTGTTCCAAAGTCGATTTTTGTTATGCTCCAATGTCCATTTGAACAATATTTTCCACCAATAAAAGAAGAGGAGGGTCAGTCAATGCATGGTAGCTAAGGAGACTGGATCTCACATAGACAATTGTGTAATCCAAGTCCTGGACCTGGCAGCTTAAAAAATACCCTGGGCATGTGTGCATGTATGCCCGAAACCCCAAAAGGAGAAATGGAGGAGAGGGGATTGCAATGTGGCCATCCAACATGGGGAGGGGGGCTTTCTCACTCTCCCACTCTTGATTTCTTTCTCTCTGGCAAGTATACAACCATCCAGCAAATTAAAACAGAAGAGGAAGAAGATAAAAAGGATAAAACTAAGGAAGGATGTTTTCCCCAATGAGTACTAGTAACTTTAGTTATTAGTACAACCTTTTTCTGTGGGAAAAGACTCCAAAAAGCCATGGGCTCTCTGACCCACTTGCCCTCGGATAACCGTGGGCCAAGCAAACTGTATTCTGACAGGAGATGTGTCAAATATACTTCTCTCTACTTGACAGCAGAGTGTCTATTCAGCCCCCTAGACTGACAGTGAAAATAGTGCACTCTGAAAAAGCGGCCAAATAACTGTGTAAACCCATTCCTAATGCAGCATCCCAGCTCAGGAATTCCATGGCTATAAACAGGGAGTTAAACAAAGATTCACTTTCTACTTACACACTTTCAGATTCCCCAAAACATATACCTCAGGTATTGGAAAAGTCTTTGAAAATTTTCACATAGATTGCGAAAGAAATGTTCTAAGTTAAATAGGCTTCAATAAAATTTTTAAATCAATTAATGGTTTAAAATTCTACATATTCATGAGAACTCTGATATAAGAAATGTTCTAAAAATATTCTTGATAGTGAGACCAGCAGGTGGCATGGTGGTAGGGAGCAGGGCTCCCACACGGATGACCGCAATTCAAGTCCCAGACCTGGCAGCTTGCTTTCTCGCTTTCCTTATCTCTCTTTCTCCATCTCTGTCTGATGAGTACATGTACCCTATAGCAAAATTTAAAATAATAATAATAATATAAATAAAATTAAATAATTATTTTTAAAGTATGAAAATAATTCATCAAAAGTTAGCAGAAGAAGTCAGGTAGATCAGGATTTAATCTACCTCCCCCTCTCACTATGTACCAATCCTTGTAGAGCTCTATTTCCTCTTTGTAATTCATACAGATATGGTGAGAGTTAGATGAAATATTGTATGAAAAACTTACAGTTTAGTGCCTAGAACATAAAAAGTGCTCAATGAGAAGTATAATTTTTTAAAAATAATTTCTGAATTTTTATTCATTGTCATTATTTTTTTTTAAGTTGACCAAAGAGAGACAGAGAGAGAAAAGAAAAGTAAGAAAGCAAGTTGCCAGGTCTGGGACTTGAACCATAGTCAGCCTTGTGGGAGCCCAACTGCCTTAACCACCACACAACCTGCAGGCCCTGAGAAGTATAATTTCTTAACTTCCAAATTCTGTGGCACTTTCTGGCACCTGATCAATAGAACTATCAATAGAACTATCACTAGAACAATAGCTTCACTTTAGCAATGATTATAATACGTTTCAATCTTAAGTACCTCCTTATGCTGTATTTCTTGCCTTTCTACCCCAAATTCATTTCAATTTGTTTTAGCTTCTCAACTCTATCGCAGAATGGTCAAAATATATAGTAAGATAAGTTTCTTATTGCTTAGTGAGCAGATGGGGACCTTCAAGCAACATGGTCACTCTGAAAGGAATTTAGCTTTCTAAGTTTCTCTGTCCAAAACTCCAGTGGTTCAAAGGATGTGTTAGGATGAAAAGCACAATAAATATATGCACTGAAAGACATTTTAAGTACAATTGATGTGCTGCCAAGAGCAGCTCTGAATGGTGGATTCACTAAGAACAAAGCATTTGTTTTACTTTCAGAGTTCTATTAAATTGGCATTTCATTTGTGTAGCCTAAAGGGCTAGATGCTGATGGGAATCATATTACAAGTTCCATTTCCTTCCTCCAAACCCAGACAAAAGAGAAATCTGGCCCTATCTTTCTCTCTTCCAATTGGTAAGGCACATTCTGGGCTCCTACATGTCCTCAAAGTTATATACATTCTTAGTAAAACCATTTATTTAATTTTCTCCACAGAGAGGCACAAAATAAAATACTTTGGGCCAAGTGGTGATGCAGAGGTCATGCAACTGGACCCACATGGCAAGGTCCTGGTTAGCGCCCCAGGACCTCTCCACACACTGAGCACGCATGGGCCCCAAGATCTGGGCTGCCTGAGGCAGGGCTGGATCTAGGCATGAAGTCATTGTTGCAGTTCTCTCTCTCTCTCTCTCTCTCTCTCTCTCTCTCTCTCTTTCTCTCTCCTTCTATCTCTCTCACAGGAGGAATATATAAATAAAATGCTTAGTTGCACAGAGCTTAGACACTAAAATGTATATGGTGAGAAATTTGACTTAGCTTATTTTAGTAAATCAAGGACACATCACTGCTGTACCTCCCACGCTTTCTTGGAAGGTGTCACTGAGACCCTGTTTGGAACTCCAGAGGTAATTCTCTCATGCCATTCTCCCAAACATGATTGGCATATCAAAAAGGGAACTGTGCCATATGCCATTTGACATATTCTTCAAAAGATAATTGAAAAAAAATTTATGCTTTTTCTCTTTTTTACATTTTTTTCTCCTTTTAATGATTTATATGAAAGCTGCAGACATTCTCAGGTACCTCAGCTCCAAAAGCAATGCAAAATGGGTAATTTGCATCACCAGGACTTCCAGCTTGTCAATCTCACCCATATTTGCACAGACCAAAGTAATCCTCTTATTCCATTATGGACAGTCAGAAATCATTCAATTTGCAGAATTAACCATCTGAGTCTACTTTAAACTTTATAATAGTCATGTACATATTTGGAATAACTCAAATTCCAATAGAGAAAATGGGGCCATTTTTGCATCACTGGCATACCTCAGCCCTTCCTTAAGCGATACATCATGACCATTCATGAGGTAAATGCCAACATGCCAAATGGGGAGCTCAGTGTGATACCTTTGCAAAGCTAGTAGAAAGTGTGTTTGCAGATAACAGGTTCTGTCAGCTTCAGAGAAATGCATTAATATCATTTCTATCATTTCAACTAGGAGACTGGTTTCTATAAAGGCAACAGTCCCACTAACATCACTTTCAACCAAGTCGGAATGAGTGTGCAGAGAAGCTATCAATAGTATTTTATCAGCTCAAGTAAATTCAAGATTCTTTGTGAGAATTTTTTGTCTACAATTCCACCACACTCAGTTCCTCTTTCATTTTCAGTAACATTTTAGACAACTGTTTCAGCCATGTCCATTCTGAATCTGTTAGCCATTCTGGAGTTTCTTTGTTGACTTTATGTTATATGGCAATTCTTAAAAGATGTTGCCAGATTTCCCAATTGAGCTATTTTTTAAACAGCTGATGGTGATCAAATTACCCAGGAAAACGTGGAAACAAAGACATACAATTGATTTGGCTCCAAAGGCGCTGATTGAAATAAGCAGAGGATTGCATTAAACCGTGATCGGATTAAGTGGGAATGACTGCGCCTTACACTAAACTTTTTAATTGGATTCTAGAGTCACTGTTACACGAAGTGCGTGACCTTCTTTATATTCTGGCAGAGTTACCGCCTGGCCACTGGGTAAACCTCCACAGCGGAGAGATCCACTTTATGTTTCATTTTCAGGCTCCTATGGAGCCCAGCAGAGAGAGCTGATAAGGAGGATTCCATACTGTGAGGGGCTCACGGACTAAGACAATCTGCTGGGAAATTAGGCTAAGGCGCCCTTGGAAATGTAATAGTCTCATACTAATAAGTGGATTTGTGTTTGCTCCTTGTGGGTTTTTCCATTTGATTTGGTGATTTTAGGAGTTCCCCCCAAATTCTTTGGTTTTCTCATAAACATTGCCTCTGCCTAAGAAACCATCTTTCTCCTCCATTTTGAAAGTGTCATCTAACATGCTATGCAGTGGATGGCACCACAGGGTCACAAATTACTTGAGTACAAAGTTTACTATCATTGTAATAGCAGGAAGGAAAGACATGGGATTAATTAATAGACAAATAATAACCAAAAAGTAAGACACAAAACTGTAACGTTGTCTATACAATATGGCAAAGTCAACCGGCCTCAGTAATATAGATTATAAAATAAATGCCTTCATACTGACCCTTGAAAGAAGTTGAAGTTAAACCCAGCCCTGCTACCACACTGCACCTGAATTTTTTTTTCCTTTTTCTATAGGCCACAGTGATGTTTCCCTTGCCTATGAGTTCCTAAACCATTCACTGCCTTTACTACCATTTTTGGCACTTCTAAGATTCTGTCTCAGTGTGGCAAATGTCATATCTTAACAACCACTCGGTAAATTTCTTCTCTTATATAGCCTTTATTTACTGTCTAACAAACCACCTTATATAGAGCAGATGCTCACTGGCAAGTGATTAACAAAATAATCCTCATTGCAAGAAACTTTCACTCATTTCAAATCCAAATGGTAAAAAATTTTAAAAATTGGCAAACCTTTCTACATTAACAAGAAGGAAATATCT